AGCACATGGATTTACATCCCCTCCATTTGAGGTGGGAACCCTATAACTACTCAGGAAAAGGTCTGGGGAAGCCTGCAGCCGCTGCCGCCTGCTCAATTAGGCGTCCTGGATGGAGGGGAAGAGGAGAGGCCTGAACATCTGATACATCTGGGAGTAGAACTGCAGAGATGGGAAAAGTTATGTAATTAAACTCTGCTGGCCTGTCCCGCTTGGGGAATGTGAGACCCATCAGCAGTGACCTCTTCCAATCAACTTAATTGGTCCAATCTCGCCAAGAAAAGCAACAGAATTGGTTTAGTGCCTCATGGAAATAGCTTAGCTCCTGACTATTTATGGCCACCGAACTCAAGGATGGGAGCCTTGACTCTGAGCCAGGAGTTGACAGCATGTGCTAACTTCTGGGAGGACTAGGAGGTTTCAGTGCCTCTGTGTCTCCATCTTTGTCTCCAGGGAAAGTGGCCGTACCCAACTTGCATGAGCATTTCACAGATCCAAAGGCCAGACCTGTGTCTTTCCAGGCAGCTCCTGCCTGCCAAGGACGGATAGGCTAAAGGAAAACAAACACTGATAGTAATACAGGGCGACTGGACTTTGCTTCTCTTTTATTCAAAGGATGGCTGTGCCAGGGACGATTACTATTTTCTCTGTTCTCAAAGTCACATTTGTTTTGTCATTGTGATCTGCCTAGCTGATGTTCAAAAACAAAACTAGGAAAATGTCTCTGAACTAGTAGGTGATTCCTTCTTTTGAGTAGACTGGAGACATTGCAACTTTCCATCAACTAAAAATCTAGGTTTGGCTGCCTCCAAGTTAGAAAATGAATAAACTAAGGCAGTCAAAGAAAGCTTTGTTTACACACTGGGTGAGTAACAGAGACGCAGTGGCCATCAGGACTACTGGCTTGCATTGTAAAAGGGAAGAGGCAAAGAATCCATTTTCACAATGACTTACAAAATGCCAGCACATGTGTCCAATTAGATTTCATCACTATACAGCTTTGTACAACAAAACACATGAAGTTTTGATGGGAGAAAAGGGGAGTGAACTGGCCTTCTCATGGAGTCATTATCAACATTGCTATTGGACAAAAAGAGAAATGGAGGGTCAGAGATATGAGAAAAGCTTTTCAAAGTTCCAAATTGGCAGAACTGGACTAAAATCACAGCATTCCTTCCCAGCAGAGAGTCTTCCAGTGCACCACACTGTCCTCTGAAACATCTGCCACTAGACCTTCTGACCAATGGTCAAGTCCTATAACATCTGTCTCCTACAGAGATGAATTTTCCTAAAAGATAAGATGGTACCTCAAAACAACACAGTTATAATTGCATGGAGTCAAAAAAATCTGATGAGTCAAATAAAGTTGCCCTCATATAATTAGAGCCTAAAAAAAATGAAGGACCTTATGATTTGGTCCAGAAAGGTGAATATGTGCCTCCTCTTTCCCTTCCCTGACCCAGTTACCTCACCAGTTATATCAATGTATGACCTCAACTGAGCTTCACCTTCCCCTCACTCTCCAAAACATACAGCTTCACTTTTATCGATACCTTTTTTCTTAAAATACATATCTGAGCATCTAAGACAATTTTCATTCTTCTCTCTATACACAGAATTCCTGCAAAATAGTCACTGAATTCCTTTACAAGAACCAGAATATGTATCCCTCCATCCTTCTGATGATTTTTCTCCCAGTTCCTTTAGTCCTCAGCTTGCATGTTCTTGCAGGTGGACACACACACACACACACACACGCTTTAAATTCAGCCCAGAAAACATCAAAGATGAACAAACACTCCCTGTCCACATCTTTCCTGAGCACATTTCACTCTTCTCCAGCTCCAAGTACCAAGACCCATTCCTGCTCTGAAGGAGGCACCACACATTCAGAAACTCAAATCTTCAAATGGATCAGGACCTGCATTTCTGATTTAGAATCCAGCACCTTCCAATTCTCAGACACACTCCCCCTACAAGAAACACTGGCATCCACCAGTTCCCTCCCAACCCACAAAAGAATATATTATCCTTTATCTTTATGCCCCTTTTTACAAAGCCACACATATATTTCTAGCCAGCTTTTATTTGGTCCCCAAGATCCCCAAACATCTCTAGAAACTGAATTATGGACCTTGAAGAAATCTTGACAGGCACTGAGTTCTCTCCATTCCTGGAAAAACTCAGCAGCCAGTTGAACCCTGAGAAGGAATTTTTTCCAGGGCAGTTTGCCATGCCTCAGTACCCAGAAGTAGGCTGAACATCCAGTAGGCATCTCATTAATCTTAATTGATAATCAATATTAATTGGTGATAGTGAATGCCCATATTAAAAGAAAGCTGTTATAGGACATTATACAACATGCAAACCTACTACTGTGCATGCAAAACATATTCCTCCACTCAGTCTACTCCTGTGTACACATCCCTTTCTGTTCCTCACCCTGAGCCAACACACAAACACGGTTCCCCTTAAATATAATCACTAATTCTAAGCCTTCTCCAATTCTCTTTGGAAGGCAGGCAGGAGAAAAAAAGCAAAGACCAAAGCAGTATCCTTCCCTTCAATGCCTCCTTTCAACATCAAGAGTGTCTGAGCCCATACTTTTCTAACCCCCACGTGTACAAATGCCATGGCAGCCAAATTCCACACCCCAGGCTCATAAAGTTCACACTCTACTCTCCTCAAATAACCCCCCCACATCCCTTTTGTAATCCTCAGGCGTCCATTCTTCCACACAAGTCCACCTTTCAAGCACCACACACAGCCACCCTCCCACACCACACCCACTCCATGTGTCTGTGCAGGCATGCACAAGCCATCTGTCCTCAGCACACTGCACCTCTCCTCCAGCTCTGACACTCTTTATAGGCACGGATTTCTCACTAGCTGCACCTATGTCCTCACAAGCTCCCATCTCCGGCTTTGCACACAGATGCCCATCCAACAGCCCCTGCCCCGACTGCACACCTCCAAGTCCTTGCAGAGTAGGATGGAGCACCACCCCATATATTTACTCTCACACAGAGAGACTCTGGGAAACCCAGAACCAAATCCTCTAAGTCAAGCTTCAACCTCACCAACACAAAATCTTACATGCTTTCCCTACAGCAAAGGCCCAAAGACTTTTCAATTCCCTCTCATACTATTTACAGGAGCCTACTTTTCTTTTCCTCTTCCCCCTGCTCCAAAGGCCATACCCAGGTCTGTGTGTTTGAGATCAAGTCAAAAGCAGTTGGATTTTTATCCCGAAATTCTACATCTCCACTTTCTTTGTGAAGCACGTCTGGGAAGAGCTGCAGACAGGAGCGGGGCAGGCTGTTAGCTGTAGAATTTCAAATGTGAAAACAGAACCGATTGAAAAGTTCCCTCTATGTTACAAGTGTCTCCCTTCCTGAGTGCTCTTACATACTTTCCTCGCTTGTTTTTTAGAGGGTGGGAGAGGGCATCTTTTTACTAAAAAAGCAGGTTCTCCATCAGACTCTGGGAGTAACACCCACTCCTTATATGTTCCCTCCCCTCCCCCACCAGGCCCCTGTCCCCACTTCTTCTCACACATAAACAAGTCCGCTGGCGCATAGTCTCCAGCTCCAAGCCGGCACTCGCTAGGGCTGCGCCCCTAGGAGCTGCTTCCACGCTGACTCTGAACCTGCCACCAGCTGCCAGAGGTCGAGGCCAAATGGTCTTTTGGGTGTTTTTCTCACCTGGAAACACACCCACGGCTCAATTCCCAAGAGAGGGACCCTTTCTAGCCTATTCTGTTCAGCATAGGGGTCTCAGTGCGGTGTATCTGAAGCGCAAGTGAGCAACGCAGCAAATTCCCGCAAAGCAGCAGCGCCTCCTGGACCAGCACCCACTCGCGCTCGAAAGCAACAAGCAGAGTCCCTATACCCCTTCCAGCTCCTTGGCCACCCCAGCCCTTCTTTCTTGCACCTTCAGTTCTCAAGCGTGCCAAATTTCATTAGGAAAATCCATCCAATAGAGTTCTGGGGCAACGGGGCAGTTTGGTCTCTTGTAGGTTCTTGTAATTCCAATCTAGCTCCGCGGATCCCCAAGTCTCCCAGCTTTCACATCGGAGCGCTGGAGTTCCTAGAACTCGCTCGCTCCCGAAAAACTGCGAAGAGACGGACAGAGATTGCCGAGCCCTGATGCTCACCGCACCCTGGCGGGGTCCCAGATGTGCGGGCAGAGCGGGAACTCCAACATCTGCTCAAAGACCTAGGGTGGGAGCTGGCCAAGATGAGCCCAGGGCTCTTTTGGAGAAAAGGTTTCTGGGGACTCCAACGTAAATATGTGGCGCGGGGCATGAGTCCCAACTCCACAAACTGGGAAGCGAAGGTCCAGGTTCTGAGCTTTGGGCCCCCCCGACCCCACCCCACGCCCTGGCCAGCACCGTGGCAGGGCCTGATGAAAATCCCGCTCGGTGGCTAACAGGGTGCAGGGCGCGTGCCGGGAGCTGCCGCGGCGGCGGCATTTTCGTCTCTTTCGGGCCAGGTCTGTCTGCTGCCCGCTTTTGTTATAGGATGTGCAGGGAGCTTTCTTCAAGGAGAATATGGGTTGTAAGTGTTGGAGGTGGGGAGTCCTATTGAATCCCTTTCCTGCCCTTCCACGGTCCCCCTTTCCCCCTCGCCTCCACTCCCCATTTTTCAAGTCTGGTCCCTTAAACCTGATCACTTTCCCAGACTGAGGGCGGCTTCTTGGGCAGCCAAGGGATGAGAGGGAGGAGAAGGTGGGGAGGGGTGCTGTGTGCGTGTGCCTGTGCGTGTGCGTGTGTGTGTGTTTGTAGTGGGGTGGCTGTAGTTGCGCCTCGGCCTGGGCAGATCCCAGCGCAAACTTTCGGGGAGGCTCAAGCCAGAGAAAGTAAGTGCCTGCGGTAGGATGGGGGTGGGGGTGGGTGCAGAGTTGGGGGCCCCCAGCATTGGCCCACTGGAAAATCCCCACACACGTGCCCCCCCACCCACTCCCGGACCTGCCCACCCAACGTGCCCGCCGCCTCCCCTTACCGTGGCAGAAGTAACCATGGCATCCGTATGACTATTTCCAGGGACGTCGACATGAAGAGAAAGATAGACGTGAGCTGGGTCATTCAAAGTCTCCCCCACCCGCCGCAGCCACTACCCAGCAGAGGGAAAATGAGAGAAGAAAGAAAGAAGAGGGGAAGAAAGTTGCGCCGGGCTCTCTCTCAGGGCGGTGCGCAGAGCTGCTCGGTAAGGAGAGGAGCCTTCAACTCTGAGTCCCGTGAACATAATCTGCGCGGTTATAACCAGCCAACCCGGCCAGATGGCTCCGCGCTCAGCGCCTTAACCCCTTACGCGCCGCGGAGTCCGCCCCCGCGTCCCGCTTGAAGTGCGCCTCCCAGGCCCGCGCCCCAGCGTCCTCCGATTTCTCTCCGGCTACCAGTGCGAGGACCATGTCATTTTTCCAAGCCCCTCTTAAAACAAAATAAAACAAAACGAACTTCCAAATTAGTAGTATTCTTCAATACCTACTACCCTTGATTTCTCTCTTAGCGATCCAGGAAAAAAAAAAAAACAACGAAACATTTGACTTATCACTATATTTTACATGTTAATACTTCAGCCTCTCTTGTTTGTTCTTTTTCTTTAATTTTTTTCTTGTCTATTTTTTAATTTAAGATTTTCTTTACAAGGTTGAAGGGCCTTTCTTGCTCCTTTGCTCAGACGGGTCGGGTCTGAACCATAAACTCCTCCTCCAAACCTCAGACCCTTCCAACTCCAGATCTCTCCCCACCCCCTACCAAGCCCACCCGTCACTCCTCCCCCACCCAACTACACGAATATGCCCAAGAACAGTTGCTCCCCCGCAACTCGCCACTCCTGGAGACCAGCACCCAGGGCTCTGTGCAGGCAGTCAAGGGAGGTTAAGTTCGAGAGGTATGGGGGAGGGGGCCAGAGCGACCAAGTGGGGGGCGGGTGTGTGTGTGTGTGTGTGTGTGTGTCCGCGCGCGCACGCGCGTGAGTGTGGAAGAAAGAGGGGGATGGATCGGAGCCTCCCATTTCACCCAGCCTCCAACTTGTAAGCCCCTTCTTTCCAAACTAGGATCTGGCCCTGCAGCTGAGCACCCGCCCAGCACCACCATTCTGCACGCGGGAACAGCGCGGGAAGCAGAAAAGGCAAGCAACAAACAAATCTCTTCCAGACTCCCCAAAAGTAGCAACGCTCACTTCCCCACCGGTAGATTCACTTGAGGAAAAATCGGAGGGAGGGGGCAACTTCTCTTATTTGTAGACAATTTTAGCTATTCATAGACCCCACTTGTTCGGGGCTTACTCTCTCTCTCTCTCAGTTGGCCCAGTTAATTCATCTTGTGTTTGTCTGTTAGCTGTCCTAGAGAAATGGGAGAAAATATTTTACCTAGGGGCCAAGGAGAAATGGGGAGCCTGGAAGTAGGGTTTTGCTCTTTTGCCCCCTTCCTGAATTCTTGCGTGGGGGACCTCATCTCCAAACTCCCCACCACTTCCTCCCTTCCATCTCAGCCACTCCTCCCATCACCTCTTGCCAGGACCTTTGACTCATGAGCTATTGGGGGAGGGGAATTAGTATCATTTCTTCTGCCTTCTGTTGGAGGCGACTTATAAGCAACGCACTCTATATTTCAGCGAGTGTTCAGGTTCAAAAATTTCAAATTTCTCGTTATTGTTTGAGTTTGGTCAAACATCAAGAAACAACCGTAGGGCATCTATTAGTTGAGGCTGAGCCCAAAGTAGAGAGAAGCTGAGGGGTCGATTGGAGGGGAGATGGGAAAGGATGGAGAGTTTGGGAGCTACGTACTAAATAGATTGTACCTGCCTCATCATTATCCAGACTGATGGGGATTGCCACATCAAAATCAACCCGAAGAGGCCACCTAGGCCCAGGTGCTTCACCTCCCCTGCAATGCCTTGGAAGGAATGATAGGATCCTCCTTCAGTGTCTCTCCTGGTGCCAAAATACCTAGGTCTTCCTCCGGATCAGGAAAAAAGGTTTTTCCCTCCACCCCTCCACACAGCACCATGAAGGTTTGGGTTGTGTGTTCTGTGGGGCTCTGGTTTTCTGCCTTCCCTCTGGCCCACCTCCTTGTCCTCCCCCACTTCCTGGTTTTGCACCCTTCTTGCTGCTGTGGTCAAAGGAGGGTTTCAGACCCCAGTTTCAGCTCCAGTGCTTGAATTCTAGGGGCTCTGGGATTCTGGACTGCAAGGAGAAAAAGAACTGCTTGGCTCCTGTTGCAGTGAGGAACGGGTTAAGTACATGTGAGGACTGATCCGCCAGCAGCTTGGTCACTGGCAGTTTGGAGGGAGGAGGGGAAGAGGGGCAAGCTTAAATATGAAAAAAAAAAAATCAGAAGAAAAGAAGAAAAAGCAGCAGTGAGTTTCAGCCTTGGATTTGTTCTGCAGATGCCTTGCACTGGCTGGTGGCTTCCCTTTGCCAGGACCCAGACAATCTCAGGAGGACTTTGCAATGTTTCCCTTCTCAGGGGAGCTGGTGGGTCTGTCTCTGTGTGCAATCAGCAGTCCTTGTAATATGAGAGGTGACACCTTAATCTTGCCGAATATGTGTGGTGTCTTAGGGGGAGGTGGAGGGATGGACTAGAGAAAGAGAGAGGAAGAGTGAGAGACCCAGGCAGGAGCAGAGAGTGAAAGATGCGCTTTTCACTAGAGGACTGATTTCCTTGAGCCGGCAACCTGTTTTTTCCTTTCCTGTATTTCTTTCCACTTCAGAGCTAAAGATTACCTCTTCTATAGGAGGCTAAGAGCTCACCCTTAGCTCTTCCTTTTGATTTCTAAAAGCAGAGTGTAGCAAGGTGATAAAAGAGGGTGGGTGGAAAAAGAAGGAGAAAGGTGTATTTATTTAAAGACAAAAGACTATTAATGTAATGCAGAACTATTTTGGAAGTGCAAACCACAGTGTCTTCTAAGCATCTTTGTGTTTTTACAAAGAGGCTTTTCTTTTTTATAGAAAGAGTATGGATAGCCAAATCAAACAGAAGAATTAGAAGAGAAGCTGGGGAGATTGTTCCCCGTGGACAGTCCTGGGAGGGGAACCCCATCCTGAGTAGCTCTTTTTTTGATTAGCTAGGTAATTGTCTCTCTCTAAGCTGACTCTAGTCATGGCCTTGGCCGCCCATCTGTTGACTGTATTTTTAGGTCGTTGGACTCTTTTTCTCTCTGCCACATTGAGTGTAAGGCCCCGATTCTTTAAAGAGGTTTGTGAGAGCAGGAACCAGATCTAGCTTTTGAAAGACCCCTTTAAAACTCTGTCCTCTTACAAATATCTAGAGTGTGCCTTCAGCCCACCCTTATCTTTTGCAATAGCGCCACTCTGTGGTTGAAACACTGAACAGAAAGAAAATGGAAACGTTGGAATGAATTAGGGCTTTACCTTGTAAAAAACTGCATTTACCTATTCTGTTTCAGTTCAGTGGACTGTGTGCATGTCTAGGGTTCAGATAGCTCAGCATAAGATGGGGGAGGGGATCTCTTTGAAGCTGCAGCATGTGGTTAATTCATTGTGGCGTATTGACCCAGGAAAAGAAAGAATTGGACCAAATGGCCTCCAAGGACCTTTTCCTCTATGACCATCATGGAAAAGATAACCTTGATTATACCTCTCCCCTGCCTCCAATTATTCAGTGAGCCTGAATGTCTTCTTTCATTGCTTTCCCCCCCACTCTCCTGTGAAATTACTCCACACCTTCGTTGATCCTAAAATATTTGCAAATTGCATCTTCTGCTGCGGGAGGGCGCTGTGGAGAGCTTTGGCAGAATGATGGCAGCTAATGTGTTTTTTCTTTTGCCCTACCCCATCCATCCCCACCCCCACTCACCCAGACAGCTGCTAGAGCTGAGGGAGCCAGAAAGTCTACATTTCTGAAACAATTAAAGTGAATGCAAAAGGTGTTTGCACTAGAAATGGGAATTTAAGGGTCAGGGAAGGCTGCATCATCCTGACTGCCCAGCCCTTACTACCTCCATACTAACTACAGCATTATTAATCAACAGTCACACTGGCTGTCACGCTATTCAGCAACTCCTTTTAAATGCTCTGGAATCATGTGTGAAGCTTTTTATTCCCCCACCTCCATCTAAGTGGAATCAGTTGTCCATGGAAACTGAGGGACTTGTCTTGAATTTCTTCAGCCATCCCAGCTCTTCTGTAAACTGTCATCCTAAGAGAACACAGCTTTGCTCCAATGACCAGCCTTGTTCTAACAGAGCCAGGGATATTAGAGGTGAAATTCCATCAGCCTCCCTGTCTCCACCCTGCGTTTAATAATTGAGGAAACTGAGTCCCCATCCTTTCAGTGACTTTCTCCAGGGTAATGGGGGAAAAGGGGGCAAAATAAATTAACAAAAAAATCTAGAAAACACAATAACAGATCAGGAACTAGAATTCATCAAGAGTCGATTTTGCAAGCAAACAAATCTGGGTTCCATGCTGCATGTATCTTGAAGCTGTGTCTTTGGACAGGTTCCTTAACTAGCCAGAACTTATCTGGAATTGGCGAAAATAATGCCAGTATCATTGGATTGCTATGAAGACTAAATGAAGTGATTAATTTAAAACTGCACAGTACCTAGTCCAATGGGTCTGACAGCCCTTGCCCTGCTACTTCACTGGTGGCTGATCTCAGAAGCTTGACTCTGGAGTGGCCCATTTGTTGTTTGTGTGCATCTACATTTAATTAATATAACTTTATGGATGTATATTACCCCTCTGGACAAAGAAAGAAAGAAATTAGCCAAATGAAGTGATACATTTATTTAGAATTTATTTAATTCCCCAGTGTGGACTTCAAAGAACACGAGAGACAGAGTTAAAGGATTTCAAAATCTCATCTTATTCATTCCCTGCCTCTGAGGCAGAATCACCTCATCATTTCAAAGGAAATTCCACTATATACTTCTACTGTTAACAGATTGTCTGGTATATTATGCTCTGTTGTTATTGCTAATTATGTTCTAGGGCTTACATTGAACAATATAATGAATTACATTGAACAACAATGAATCAACTCGTTTCGTGAAATAGAATGCATATTCATAATTATGTTTCAAGAAATTACTCGTCATGATAGAGTGAAGGTATGTATTTCTACCACACAGGTGGATATAGAAGTCCTAATAAAGTCTCCTGTTTCACCAGTCATGACATGAATTTCTAAACCGCCCCATAAATTAACTTTATGCTGCACCAAACTCCACTCATAAAAAAATGACATTAAGGTTTCCTAGGTAAC